TCAATCTAGAGTAATATAAAAAAGGGGGGGGTAGTGAGTGTAGATAAATTAAGGGTGGGGTTAACAAGGGAGAAATGTGAAGCTGCATATACTTAGGATTAGCTGTTGTTGGGCATAGTCACTATAGGAATTAGGGAACTGTGGCAAACTTTTCACAGAAAAGGTGGAATTGGAGGAGTGGTGATAACATACCATTAGCTTTCCAACATTAAATTAATTTCTGTTTCAGCCTTCAGTGCTTCAAAGTACCTGGTATGTTTTACATGAAACACATAAAAATTCACCTCCGAGGGGGAAAACATGTTACAAATTGCCCCTCTACTTATGATTAGAATACTGCATATGTGAAACACAACAAGACCAGAACATAGCTATCTGCCATAAATTATTTTAAGTCAGTATTTTAGGTATACAAGAAAAACACAGGTAACAATTCTATTAATTCTGCTATGCAATATGTCAGGGTTGGCCAAACTGAGGCTCGGGAGTTTATTTTGCCGCTTGTGGCCTGTTGCCATTGCCCACAGGTGCCTGCTTGCAGCTCTCAAATACTGTATGTGGGTCTTCCATCGACTAAATCTAGTCACACCTGCAGTGTGTGTTCATATCATACCATTGCTCATGCTTTTTCATAACAAAGGGTAGGTTACCAATTAAGAATAACAGGAAACTAGGAGACCACTGATTAAAATATCTTGGTACTAGTTCTTATTATTGACTACAAAGAATACAGCTACACAAGCAATTTATCATCAATTCACAATGTATTGCAGGATATGGATAGTCTGGATAGAAATAGTTACTGCTCTACCAGTTTTCTAAAAGTGATTTAAAACAGGCAAGATGAAAAAGTTAGAAATTCATCTAAATGTCATCATGCAAACTGATGAATACCTTCCGTCTGAATGTTTCTACACCTGCAGCTTTGTGACAATTTGTGTAAGCTATTTTTTAATATATTTTAGAAACTATATGTAGCTCCTTTTCATAATGAACATCAGAAATTCAGTAACTGAAAGCACTTTTCTTTTTAATATATAGACTGCATTTCAAAAATCGTATCTCAGCTTATTATTCTCTGATCTCTTTGTTTTTCCTTTTGTGGTGGGCTATGATTAAACCAGAATGGCTATGTAGCCCCAGTTCACTAGAAGAGAAACCAGAAGGAACCTATCACAAAAGGGTAGGGCTTTTCTGAGGGCAGCCAATCGGAAAGAAAGATGAAGAATGCTCAGGGCAGGTTTTGTCAGTTGGGAGTTCAGGAGCTCAGAAGATGGAAGGGTTTGCAGTTTTTGATGCTTTGGCAGACTGCCTGGGCCTAATGATCTGATCCTGTGGAGAGAGAACCTAAAGAGGACAGAGGTAAGTATGCAACCAAAAGAAGGTGAAAAAAAGGAGAGAAAAGAAAGGAGAATAGAAGGAAAGCCACTGTTTCTCTCTGTCTATTGAGACTATTGGTTTCCTGACCCTACTTGTGATTTCACCTGGATTTAATTCAAGAGCTCTAAGAATCATCTAACATGAGGGAAGGGGAAGATCCGCCAGACTATATAGCTAGTAATCTATCTTAATGTTCTATTGAGTTTCTGAGAAAGGGATACATCTCTAATTAATTAGTTTTTTCGTTTCGTTCAAATTGAGAAACTTCGATTACCAGCTTTAGAACAATCAACTTCAGGCTTCCTCATTTAATCCCTGATAGTTTATGGGGACTCCATGTATGGGCCAAATCCTTGTTTAGCCATACACCACTTGTTTTGTATGGACATGGTATTCTTAAAGTGATATTCAGACATGGTAGTCTGCCTACATTTCACATTTCCTTTTAGCAGAATAGAAGAAAACTCAATCACTGATGCACTTATTTCAACTGAATATTTAAAAATATAGATGAAAAATGAATTATATAAATTTAAACCAGTTTTGTTTAACCCTTGGAATACGTGGTGTGAAAAATTCAAGGTCAGCTCTGGCTACTTAAGGCAGAAGTTAGGTGGCTACATGAAAGCAGGAATGATGTCTGAATAGCAGTGATGTGATCAATTCCTTTTCTGCAAGTCTCAAGCCTTTACTTTCAAGTCCAAGTTGAGTCTTAAGTCACTGAAAGAAATATGAGTCAAGTCTCAAGTCTCAAGAGCCAACACACCTGCCCCTATCACAACGTCTTGTCCTTCCCTCCCAGTACCTCCCTCATGCCAAAAAGAAGAGCTGAAGCCTTGCTATCCCTTTCCCCTATCACAACCCCCTCCTCCCTTCTCCTGCCTCTGTCTCCTTGAAACTCCCTCTGTCTGATGTGTTCATGCCTGCACACAGGATAGCCTGCTGCAAGTAAGCCCTGGAGTGACTTGGTTGTAAAAAATGTAGAAATCTCACGTGGAGTCACTTGCTCATTGCTCTGAGACGAGTCCGATTTGTTGCTGACATGACCTGAGTTGGACTTGGGAGCAAGTCACTTGAGTTTAGTCCCCAGTACTGCTGAATAGTCAATACATACTTCTAAAAATTGCCCTAGCATGGGAAGGGGAACTCTTCTGGCAGCAACAAGTAGTGGGCCAGCAACCAGAAGGAGTTTAAGATTTGGGCAATGGAGTGAAAAAGCCTATCAGGCAGGATATAGAGCTAGGTTGCAATGGTGTACAAATGGCCGAAGAGCTACCTGAGTAAATCCAATGATAATTCAAAGCTGCAGGGGAGAAATGACTGACTGTGATGCTATGCCGATACTCTCCACCAGTGCTGGTACGGGCATTTGCATCAGGGCTAGCTTGAACATTTCGAAAAATGCTACTTCCTTTGCACCAGCCACCAATACTGCTGAGATTGTTCAGAGCTGTGTAAGCAATCTAGTAAGATACAGCAAATCTACAATAAACTGGGAAGCATCAGTTTCAACCACTGCTTGTAAAAGATATACGGATAACTGAGTCATGTTATTTCCTGGAACCCCAGGTATGTCTGGGACTTTCCAAGACTAATGCTAATATTAGGGCAAGGGAAGTATCTCTTAGGAATACAGGAAGTTGTCTTAAAATCAATCAAGCTACTGATTCATCTAAACCTATACTGTTGACACAGACTGGCAGTGGCACTCCAGAGTTTCAGGCAAGAGTTTTTTGAGCTCCAGCTGAAGATACATGGGAGGCTTTTGCACACTGGACATGTGCTCTACCACTGAGCCATGGTTCTAACCCCACTGGACTATGGTGGCTGCAATTGATTTGTGGAATGCAACAGATTTAGATGCTGGGGATTTCACATTGTTTATGCAAACAATACTATAAGGAACTGAAAAAGTTACTAGGTTTTTCTTTAAAAAGTCATGGGGAGAAATCTTACTCAGGTTTACAGTATAAATACTAAAGGCATAAGAATGGAAGCATTCAGAGCTGTGAAATCAAAACCATAAAAAACAAAAGTATTGTTATAGTTAAAGAAGCCTCAAACTGCATTCTGTGAAAAATTAATCCTAAAGCAATTGCATATGAAACATAAAGTACTTATCTATGCAAGCAATCCATGCATGCTCCTTCCCTTTTCAAAGCATTTACCACATGGACTGACTCCTCCACATACAGCTTTAGCCTGCCAGTAGTGTGCCCTCCTGGGTCATTGTATTGCTAATGCTATACATGAATGGGTTGATGCATGTACTAAGTGCATTTAAATCTGATGGGATGGAAATGAAACATTTACATGGTAAGCATTTTAACCATGGCCTGTGCCACATATAAATTGTGCCTAATACCATTGCCTGCTTGCAACTCTAACCATAAAACAATAGCATAGCTTTTTCAGAATGGGTCAGGCAATGAAAGCTATTGGCTACAATAATCTTCAGTAATACTTCTGTTTACTCAGCTAGCATGAAGGATTATGGAGATGAGTTCGCAAGAGCTGACCCTCCAGGTTTATTAAATATTCAGTGAATGTTCTGTATGCATACTGCGTATTAAATAAAAACTAGAAAATGCTGCAGAATACCATATGTTAAATATTTCAAAAAACACTGGAGCAGCTCTATTTATTTTTAATAATTTATTTTAGATCAGTTTATCAGGTATTACAACACAATGAGGGTACAATAGTAAATCACACTGTCATAAAGATTTAGTACCTCTTAAAGTGTTAATGTGGATTGTTTCCCAGAGTTAACAGAGTTAATTCTGTGCCTGGCTTTCCCTTATGATTTTTGAAGTTTGTTCTTTTCCTTCTGGTTGTTCTACCTTTAAGATTTTATTTATTTATTTATTTATTTATTTATTTATTTATTTAGGAGACTTCTATGCTGCCCCATTCGCCGAAGCCTACAATTTTGCTACAATTATGATTTTTAGAAGTATTATACCATATGGATATTCATCAGAAGGATACTCATGGTTTAGGCTCATGTTCTCAGATTCCTACTCCTTTCCTACTAGCCATTTTCTCTTCTCATTAGCTTGCTGTATAGCCTACACACAATCTGCTTTCCTAGTATCATCTGCTACTCCATACGCTTACAAATGAGATCAATACCATAATGTTCATTAGCCATACTTTTACAAATAAACTAACCGAATATTTGAGAAAGTATGCCTAGAACCTTCACAAGATTTTTAGAGTAACCGGTAATTCAGTATCATATAAATATGAACTACAAATCTAGTCATTCATCGACTTCCTCATAAACCAAAAATGGCTATCAGGATAGAAACTGCATGATAAATGTTGACAGACTCCAGTACGAAATAAAAATGTTATAAAATAATCATATTTAAAAGCTGCTAGCCTTCTGTTCCTATAACTTTTTCTTTGTGTAACTTGATTCACTCAACAGAACTTTATTTAGAAAATAAGTGCAATGCTTTCAATATAAAATGTAATCTTCAGAGTATTTAGCTCAAGATGTCATTTGGTGGATGTGAAACAGTTTCCAGATTAAAAAAAAGTCTTATGCATGATCATATCAACCATCCTCTATTGATGTCACCTAGGAAAGCAAAACTGCATCAACTACAGACCTTGAGTCCAAATGAAGCATCCTCCGAGGCCAAGACTTCAACCTGAAATTATAAGGAGAAATATCATTTCAAAGGTAGTCACTTAAAATAGTTCTGACCACAACACCAGAAGCTATGGAGAAAATATACAGTAGAAGACATGGCAATCCTCTAATAATCCTGTAATATAAGACAGTGCAGAATGGACTGTACCAAGCTATGAATTATACATACTGTCAATGATAGAATCAATAAGTTTCCTTATTGACAAGGTGGGCAAGTGGGTCAGTGTGAACAATATGAGTTCTAACCTCAATAAAGGGGGAGGAGGGTTTAAAATGCTGCAGTTTTTCACACTATACTTAAAATGCCATCATTTATGCAATATCTTTATTCCACAAAAGGATGCTGTACTGTTCTGAATAGAGGGAAGACTAAGCACATCAGGAAAGTAAGCGGGTGGGTGGGTGATTAATATACCTTTGTTGGCCTCCATCTTTAAATATTTTAAAATTAAGTGTTCAAAACAATACATATTCTTTCAAATATCTGTCACTAAGATAGCCACATACTGGAATGAAAATTATGAATTCAAGTTGTTAATCAAGTCAAATCCCATCAGGATCTTTTGTGTTTTCCATACTCATGGCTTCAAACACTTGCTTTTTTGTAGGAATGTAAGCTAGTAGAGAGCTGGTTGCACAGGAAATATCTAAGTATATTTCACATGGATAAGAAAATGCACCCTTCCTGCTATTTACACAGCAGAATATATGCATTCAGAATGTTAATGCCCAGTCTTCCTCTCACACTAAACAAATCAAGTCTCACTGTACTACTTACTGAATTGGTCACTGAAAGACATAATTATGAAGCACTGTACCAAAAGTGCTACGAACCTCACTGCAACGTACTACTTATAATTTTGTGAAATTATCGAAGGAAATGTTGCCTTTGTGAATTACCCTTAATGCCATTGTGGTGTAAGACCTGTAACACTCAAGTAATTAACTGAGCTCCCATACCAACCTTTCTAGAATTGTAGTTCACTTCTTGAAGCAGTCCTCCATTTCTTGATTCCTTAGATCCCCTGAGTATGCTTTTTTCTTGCCTAAATTGGTAAACTCCTGATTCCAATTTAGCCTGCATCCTTAAACCATTTGCTGGCCACCAGGCAACATATGGAAGAACTGGTGATCTCTCTACTGTATTTTCCTCTTTTCCTGCTTTTTTAAAAAGACCTATTGCAATTAATTCCCTCCCTCCCCTTGTTTCTCAGAAGCCAAAAGCCATGCTGCACAGTCATGCCACCCACTCTATACACCCCTTTCCTCATATTCTTTCTAAAAACCTGGGAAGCCTCATAGTTAATGATTTAAAATGCTATTTGTTATATTCTTCCCAATAAACTTGATTTCCTGGAAAGCTTTTGACTTGATTTCTATTGCCACCTAATGAGGGTAATTCACTTCCCAGACATAAAGATACTAGTTAAGTATCTTGGAACTCAACATTTTGGCTAAAAGAGTATTAGTAGGGAATGAAACCTATGTTCTGGCAAAATAAAGGATGTAACTGTACTATTCTATTCAAAAATCCTGAATAGAAGTGATGCCCAACTACATCAAGGTGTTTGCGCTCTATTGTCCTTAGTAGAGTATTCTTTCTGCAGTGGTCCTTGTGAGGACTCCACAATGATAAATTTGGGGCATGGCTGTTGAAACAGCAACTTGGATTCTGTACATATTTTCAAGCCCTCTAGATGGAGGAGCCATAGATGCAGGTGACTTCGTCTCCTGATGGATTGTATCAGGTAAGGTCAGGAGGGGTACGGTGCCTGGGCTGGTGGTTTCTGCATATACCCCTTTGAACATAGAGCCTTTTGCTCCACCTGGGTCCTGGTGAAGATTGAGCCCTAGGCTATAGGTCCATCCAAAGGACATGGTTCCAACATTTTCTGAGGTCCTTGGAAATGCAGAAAAGATCATAGGAGGGCTGAGATGGACCTCATGAAAGGTCACAGCACTGGTCCAGGGAAAAGAGTTCTGAGCTTGAGGTATATGGTCCCAGATCCAAGTGCATGAGTTCAGTGAAAGTTGCATATTGAGGTTTGTGCAACAGAGAAACAGAGTGAGTCAGAAGGGGCCTCCTGGGCCATCTAGTCTGACCTCTGGCTCTAGCTGGCTCAACTCATGACATGCCCACCATGTGCATGTCTAGCCTATCCTTGAACACCCTCACCAATGGGTCCTCAAACCACCTCCCGTGTTCTGATGTGGGATTGTGGGGAACACTGGATAGGTGGAGAACTAATTGGATCTGAGAGGACTCCAATGTGCTTAGTCTTGCCCAAAATTAAAAGATGTCTGGAGCTGCCTGTAGAAGTTGGTCTTGTACTCCTGCCTCTAGGGAGCTGTAGGTCACCGAAGGCTACAGTCCGAATCAGCAACAGGGGAGTAAGACTGGTACTGGTGTCTGTTGGGCTCAGAAGGTTGATGCACACATGGGATTAGTGATGGTGGAGAGTCATGTTCTTTCTGCTGGCATACTGGAGATGACAGCTCTCTGTTCTTGATTGCTGAGAATGAAGTACCTGGAGCTGACTGCAAAGGCTGCATTGAAAGCCTTTTTTTAAGAGTAGAAGAGCGGAAAAAAATGGGGAGAAAAACTGGAATATGGAGAAGAATGAGAGGCTATGCTGAAGATAGAGAAAGCAGAGGAAGAACTTCCCAGTGCACTCATGATGGTGGTTGAAGAAGAACCGAGGTCTCAGTGGGAGCTCCTCTTCGCATGCTCGTCATGCCCAGGGGTTGAGCTCCTGCTGAATACTAATCAGCTTTGGAATCTTCCCTCATGAGCTCTACACAAGCACACAGAGCCCATAAGTGTGATGCACAGAGACCCCAAAGAAGAAAGCCAGATTCCATTGGGAAGCAGTTCCCCTAGCTAGAATTTGCATCAGGAACACACTTTTCTTTGAGCTAAATTCTCACACTGTTTCTGTTCCAAAAGGGATAATTCCTCAAAAAATAGAGGAAGGAATGTTGCCCGAGCTGTGTTTAGAGAGAGCAAGTATGGTAACAATACTTAGAACAACGCACAAAGAGCCAGTGTGCTGCAGTAGCTAAGAGTGCAGGGCTGGAACTCAGGACATGAGATTCTAGTTCCCACTCAACCATGGAGCTAACTGGGCGACTTTGGCTCTGTCACAGACTTTCAGTCCATCCTACCTCACAGGGTTGTTGTGAGGATGAGAGTGAGAGGATGAGAGCCAAGAGGTTACCAGGGTATGGATTACTGTTGCCAGATTTTGCCT